ACATCAGACCGACCGCGCAATCTCACTTCCATCGATTTAAGAATAGCTTTTAATTCTGCTGAGATAAAAGCAGCCATTCAAGCCGTAGACTGCTAGGGTGTCACCAGTCAATATATAAAGTTTATTCGTGAGCTACAGAAAATTTGAGAACCCAAAATATCACCGGATGTAGGCAGAGCGGTACCACCTCGCCAAAACTAACAACTGCCGTCAGAATGTCACGCGAACCGTGGAATGTGACAAAACAAGAGTGGAAACTTGTGACCGGCCGTTACACCATCTTAACCTTCTTCATAATGTCGTTACTATTACGCCAAGCGTTATCCAGGAGGAAGGAATAGTTGCAGACATTGATTGCGCATGTTGGAAGTTCGGTCAAAGACGCGACCTCATGAAACTGATGTTCATGAGGAACGGATTGGCTTCGTACGCTCAATAGAATGAATATCTCCGAATGCTATTTTTAGTTCGGAAAGTCAAAATGATAAACAACTTAGCCACACAGTTGACCAGAAAGAAGCAAGTGGATTGGAGAACTTTCAAGAGAATCCACCTAGGATGTATTGAGGATAACAAAGAACACCGGATGCCGTGCCCACTACATCGACTTCACATTATCCCTGCTTAACGCACGCGTCATAAGCTCAAATGCTATAGAAGCAGGATAGAAGATCATTCAGCGCTATCGGATGCGCAGACGAAAGGATGACGCTGGGAGTATCCTGAATCACACAAGTGGAGACGGAGTACCAATTTTCGACTTATGCCGACGATCAAAAATCTAAATAGCCCTCATACATGCCAAGAAGTGAAAAATCAGGTGTGCGGGGTACGTAATGCATATGAACGATAACCAATAAACAAGAACCGCTAGCGATCGCATTCCTCGGGGTGTTGAACACGTTGCAGGAAGGTCATCGAACCGATGCTCAGAGTTCTTCACGAAAACCTTAGACAATAGATAAGATGATCAACGAATCCATAGGGCCAGAGGAATCAACTGGGAGTTTTCTTGCACGTAACAGGGAAAACTGCGTTTAGTGGCGTACGTCGAAGTTATTCTACGGTTAACGGGACCACATGTGGTACAGGTGAATCGACAAGCAGCAACTGACTTGCATATGTTCCTCAACCATTTGTACCTTCTTTTTCGTTTGCTGAGACAGGCAGGTGCCTTTCGGCAATTTCCAAGAATTCGGGAATTTTTTCTTTGTTGTCTGAGTGCTCAGTGAACCAATCGTACTTTACATCGATGTTACAGGCGAGAGTATCGCATTAAAGGACAGCCGAAAATGTAAGAGAATTATTTCTCAATGGTTTCGGAACATCGCTTTTTGATGGTGTAGCTTCGTCTAGTTTTCCAGGAGGTTAAGAAAACCAGTCGGCCGTCCGATTCCGAGTTCTTGCTTGCATTCTTTTACACGCCTACCTTCAACTCTAACGGGTCCTTTAGTGAGAAGCAATATTATCCTTAGCAAAAGCGACTTGACGAAACAATTGTTGGAGCAAGAAATAATAGAAAATGTCCTTTGGTTCTCTCCTTTTTTGAATTTCTAAATGACACCGCCTTAAGCTCAGTATCAGAGAAAAGACCAGAAACGCACGCGGGACCATCGTGGATTTCGTGAAAGCTGCTCAAACTTCAAAACTTGTCCGCATGGTTTCCCCGACATTAAACGACAAAATTTCGATAGGTAGAGATTTCTAGGGGTTCACAGTACCACGAAGTCATAGAAAAGACATTGTTTATCCATACAGAGCTGTAATCTTACAACTACACGCTACATTTCACCACAGCTCATCCGCAACACTTGCGGCTGCCTGAATATGGAAGGATTTCACAACCCAAGACGATACCTGGGAATGGGAAAACACTGAAATACTGTGCAAAAAACTGTTTGAAATACCCCATGCAATTGTCGGCAAGTAGAGGATTTGAGAAGTAGACAAATTGAATGAATCAAGCAGAGACTTTGCTTCGTCTCTTTAAAAAAGGATAACAACTTTCATGCTGTTCATCTTCTATTCCACTTCATTTAAAGATGAGGTTGGAGAAGACCGTTGGATTGGGATAGTTGTTATTTCCACTGACAAAGCTCACAGTTGAATTGAGATGTCATTTTCTTTAAAAGCCGTAACTGGCTAAGGGCTCGTTCGAATTTGAACTAAAGACCAAACAACAGATTAGAAAATAAACGCAATATCAAGGGCGTTATCGAAATTTCCTGCAACTTTTATCAGAAATGTCAGCGCCACTACTCTATCACGTTCCAGGCACATTTTAGAAGATTCGGATAACGAACGGAACGCTTGTGAAGTCACCGTCATTCTACACTTCCTTCCCCAGTGTGCCCTTTTTTTCTCTCACTCTTTCTCGCACGCCTCTCATTTGATCCCATCGAACTTGTTCTCGATGATGAACTGCAGGAAGCATGTGTAGCTCAGTGGTTGAAGGCGCCCCGCATTACACATGAAATCGGTCAAAATGCCTAAGGCTCACCAATAATTCCATCCATGCGGGATCGGTAGGCTGGTCGTAGCAAACTTGTCTAGGAGGATAGCAGCACTGGCTCGATACAACGGTAGGCCATCACGAGTAATTGTAGAAGGCAGATATGTAATCAATCCCCTCCAAACGATTGTTAATGAAGTCGAATTCATAGCGCATCCCTCAGGAGTTGATCAACGCTGCGAGCTTTACCCTTTATCCCTTCATCTATTAGACTACATTAACTTATTATTGGTGCGGATAGCACGATGGTAGTGAGGTCCTAGCCTCTCATCCCTCTAGGGTTGGTAAACTGGTACCAGGCCGCTCCAGTGAGCAGAATACACATTTCTTGTGATTTTGTCATGAAAACATGATATGTGGAAATCGTTACTTTACTGGTGATTGATACATGAGCCTTTCTTTGCCTGAGGACATCTAGGAATCATATCGAAAAAAATAAGCTCCACTACTAAAAGGTGCCCCAAGAAAGCAGAGGTCGGAAGAGTTCTGTGGTAGTTCTGAAGGTTCCACGATCCTGGTGAAAGAATCAAAGACTTCGACAAGCAAAACTTTTGATGCACGTTGTATTAGTTTCAGTAATCCAGAATGTACTACAGGACACCTCTAGTCATGCGATACGTGAACCCTCTTAATGAGTTCTGAGTATACATTGATTCTAATGACAAGAAGACAATGTAGTCAAAAAACGCTGTTTCCTTTCTTAAACACTGATATGTTCAGTGCGATCGGAAGCCGACGTCTTTCTTTTTGTTCTCCTAATCTGCCTCTGTGCTTCCTCCCACAGCACGACGAAGATTGCCGATTCTCCTGCTTCAGTTATCCATGATCTTCGGATTCGAAGAAAAATTCGCGGCCTAATAGATCGATACTCTAGTATATTTATCAAATGTTGGGCCATTTTGAGGTAATCGCAAGATTTTCTGAGGAGAATGTCCATGAGGTGTAACTCGCTAAAATCATTCACTCTTCTAGTTGAGAGTCACTCTCCAACTGAGAGTGTTTCCAGCACATTTACCAGACCGAGACTCATGCACTAGGACAGGTTCTGCTTAAAGAACTCGGAACAAACCTTTCCACGTGGTTTCGAACGCTGATGGTGAAATTAACTTCGTTCGTTAAGGAATGCACTGGTTTCTGTGATAATGCACTCGCACACAATCACTCCTCATTTTCGTCAGAACATGTCCAGTTATAAACATTGAGTAAGGTTTGTGGTGTACACCAAAGTGCTCCTTGATCTTAAGAATAAATTTACATACCTATTTTATCGCTGAAAACTATGGTAATTCTATGAAGATTAAACAGTACCACGATTCAGATCAAGAAGTTATGCGCTAGCATTCTCCGAAACCTTGAAATCCTATCGGCGCCATTACCATTGGTTAGCTAATGGAAAATATTACAGCTGACTCTGTAGTTAGCCTCGGTCTAGAGTGCTATTTTAGGTTGGAATCTTCGAAGACGTTCTAATGAACATGAACATGGAAATCCACCCATGCGATATCTAAGGTTTATCTCATACAATAAGAAGCACTTTATTCGTCGACTATCCCATTTTTTAAGACTTTTGACGTTGGCTGGATGCCAACGATAACTAAGGCGAACAGTGTACGGGAGCTGTGGTACGTAATGAGCTGGTAACTTGGGTATGTAATCAGTGTGAATAGCATACAGTACACAACACACGTTGTCAAGGTAACATACATCAACATAACCAACGACAGGAAGTCTCACAAAAGATGGTTTTCCCGATGAAGGACGCACTATGGAATCATACAGCACCAGTACTGCGACTAGGACCTAACATGCTGCGAACAGTGGATAGCAATAGAGATGGGATACACAGCACCAGTTTCAATACCTCTGCCGCAAAAGCGTACGGAAGAAACAGCGACCGCTACAATATTTTCGAGCCACTGTTTACTAATGATGAGACATAGGCTTGCAACAGAACGAACAAGAAACAAATATCACCAAATGCTTAGGTCGACCAGATTTCAACGAATTAACCAAGCAATCGTAGTAAACCGCATGCAAAGCTTCGTGAAACTCCTCATCAAGTGTACGAAATAAAGGAATGCAGAAAAAAATTAAATGGAATCACAAAAAAACAATGCGAAAGAGAGAGAGAGTAAGAGAAATATCAAAGCACGAATAGAAAAACAAAGAAATGGACGATGAGGCCAGGAGATGAAAAGAAGGGACAAAGGAACTGGAATAAAAATAGGAAACTAAGTCGTAATCAAAGTGTTACGAAATGCTTGCTTGAACGCCAATCCAATGAGAATTGGTCGGACACTTTACACCACTCAAGAGACCACCGATTGCCTAACAGAGGAAGAAGACATAGTGCAAAGCAAAACATCGGGATTAATTTGTACCTATATTTCTACATCTAGTGAAACAATGGTAGATCACCGTCGGAAGAACTAAGAAATTGTCGCTTTTCACAGAGAGAGGAATTCATTCCTTCACAATGAGAAGCGTGTTAGCGAACAAAATTAGTCACTATAACACAAAGCTTAACTTCAACGGTGCAAACATCGAAAAACCCACGGCCAGACTTTACAAAACGAATCTCTGGACCACAGTGCACATGCATTTCGAAGACATTCTTTAACTAAATTGCAACTTTGCTATGAAGTGTAAACAACATACTATATTTGAAAATATACGGAGTAACGACCAAGAAGAACCAACCTTCCCGTCAATGTCAGGCTTGGTGGTCCCATTAATCTGTGTCTCGTCACGATCAATTACATCGTAAGCAGCGACCAAGTTAACCAAGTTCTCCTCCCACCTTAGAAATGATATCCGCCTACAAATAAATTGGATATCAAAAGCTCATCACATCAAACACGTTGCAACTGTTGCAGAATTGATAAAAAAAAAACTGAGGAAAAGCATTCGGAGATAGTCCTCACAGCTCTACTTACGGTCGATTCACTCAAAACATCGAACACTTGGCAGTAAACGCTACTTCAAATAGTACGGTGGACAATGAAAGTATAGAAAGCAGACTCAGCCACTAAATGAATGCATTCTGTGAGACCGAGTGTAAAAATGAAAATCGGTTCGGTACAATTCTTCTCTTATAAAAATTCCACGGAATGGTTTAAGAAATCATGACTAAAAAGGCATCGAATGAACCTTGGAAGCCATTCTAGACAAATAATTGGAAGGTAGGCATGGCGCAAATGTTTCCCTCTCCGAATCTTGACTTAATCACAAACACTACTTAAGTACACACAATAGCAGATACCTTAGCGACTCCACTATAGCCTAATAAAAGCCCTGTATTATAACGTAGCACCTTTCAGCAAAACGAATGTTATGAAGGAAAAACTAGGATTTTTCTAACGCTTTCAATGCTCTTTGCACTACACTGGAGAGTTCCACACTAATATGAATTAAATCAGCGTTCATAGCATCTCGATTCCGAACTATTAGACGGTCCCAGATAAAATTGAACGACTGCTTCACCATCCGAGCATATGGTGGGCTAAGTTTGACTGGGCACAACGGTGATGTACAACTGTGGGATCGAGTTATTTTTTAAACTAAAAGGACATATAAAGTGTATCCTTTGGTCCTTAATCTTCTCGGTTTAGACTTGCAAAAGTATTCTCCCACTACCTATAAATTGGAAATGCACACACCCACGTGATAGTGCAAAGCAAAGGAGCATGTGGGTGACCAGACGAAAAGCTGGTGTATGATGTGCTAGCAAACCCCGTCTTTCCGCAAATTCGTAGTACTTTAGACTTTATCTGTTATCAACTTAAGCATACTACGCTGAGTTTAACTCATTTTGTGCTATTTGACAGAAAAAAGGGCGAAATATACGACTGGTAAATATCATGAAGAAATAAAGACAAAGATTTCCAATCCTGATAAAAACTGCACGAATTACACGAATGATTATTTTAAAATGGCACAAAGAGTTTTAAAAGTGGAAGAAAGGCAACACCAGGACAACGGAGTCATAGTAACTACTCTTAAATAGTTCCTATTTCTATGTCACCTTATGTCTTCTACAACACCTGTTTATTTGTAATCGTCATACACCTATTCTTGCATATTCTGTAAATCGTCTCTTAGCAAGCATTTCATGCAATTGCCTCGCAGGTGGCTGGAAAGGAAATCAGCAGCAGTCAGCTGAATGCACTTTTCAGCATCGTCCCAAAAAGTTTCCGAACAAACATCTGCACTCTTCCACATGTAGTCCTATCAAATTGTGCTAGTAGAAAAACTTTTAGAACCTCTCTCTGGCAAAGCTCCACCCACTACAGAAGGTAATATAGGCAGCCCATAGGCACTCGTCCTGAAGCGTTAGCCGCGTTCGTCCGGTCTTCTTCCGGTCCCTCAATTCCTCAATGCTCCAACTCTAGTGTCCGCCTTGCTTCCTTCAAGTGTACCACTTATTTCCATTTCAATCCCGTTCGTATCCACCCAGCTTAAATATCGTCAAATATCACACATTATTATTGTATCGTTATTGTGGCTATAAACTGTTATATCCAAACTCAAGGTTGTTCAAGACAGTTACGGAGAAAAGTCCCGCGTGGCGAATTCACACAAAGTCGAGCATTCCACGTACAGCTGGCGGACAAAAGACCTATCCGACCAACTCCCTAATCCACTGGCCAACTAACACAGGAGTCTCAAATACATAAGCCAAATTAACAAAAAGACCTTGTAATGCAAAATATTAAGAAAAAAATAATTAAGCACCGTTGGAGGTGACTGAATGTATGTCAGGCCTGCACAACGATTAGCGGTGGCCTACCGAAGTATCCAGCCAGTGCTGCTATCCCCGCAGACGATTCACATCCCTTCAACTGTAAACGCCCAATTCAGAGTGTTCGTTGTTCGGATGGATCGATGTTAACGTCCAAACTCGTGTTTACGAGAATGCTGACCACCGGCTCCGCTACTGGGGCCTTTTCCAAGGAACAGTTCTCCAGTGTCATAGACGGCGTTGAATACGGGCCATCTTCTTGTCTCAGTCACTACGATGACGACGTACTTTATTCTTCTTGCCTGTATGATCGAGCATTCTATCGAGGGTTCAAGTACAACTGTGTGTGCATCGTAGACACAGGTTTCCGCTTTAGACCTTTGCGAATCGGGCAACCCAAAATGGTCCAGAATTATTAGCAACCCTTCCGTACTCGTCCTATCCAATGCAACCGTAACGAGGGATTTCCCGGTGTCAGAGGAATGAGGCTCAACTATCTTATCGCGTTCACTGCTTGATACATACGTATACGTTGCCATTTTCCAAAGTAGAGGAGTAGATTGCTTGTTGGATGCGACTCTTAACCGCCTTCCATATAGTTCCCCGACCGCAGGCTTCTGACCGAACTGGAAATCCGCATAAACGAAAACACACCCATACACGGATGTATGAATAAATCCTCGTAAAAAAAAAGAAGGTCATCCTAACGGTCATCCGCCTTACTGTAGCTGCGACGCGATTTTGCGTGTTGGGTTCAGATGTACGGCGGGCGGATTCATCCTCCCGCAGGCTTTCCCAGGCTGGGAAGAAGTTCAGCGTTTCCAATGAGGAATCTCAGCTAAGAGTAAATCAATTTCAGGGTCCACCACCGTCCTGGTATCAAACTAGTCGCATGGTGGCAAATCTCCCTCTGATCCACAAGAACGGCTACTGCCTGTGGTGAGTGACGACTTGGGCAGACATTGGCCTTGCTCACCTCGGGACTCCTGGGAACTACAATGGATAAACCAGCAAAATTCTGAAAAAAAANAAAAAAAAGGAAAATTATGCTGGAGCGCGCATAACCAGTGAAGAGGGGCCATCCAAGTATCTCGGTAAGTAAACAAAGAAGGTATGTGCTAAATCAGCGGAGTAGAAACCAATAACAGACAAATCAGCGCTTGTGGCATCTCGATTCCGAACCATCGACTATGGTCCTAGATAAAACTGAACGACTACTTATGGTAATGTGCAACTGTACGGTCGAGTTATTTTGTCGTAAAAAAAACATGTAAGACACTACCATGTGCCTCAATATGAATGACACATCAATTGCTTTTTAACGGTTGGTCAAAGTAACAGAGGTCGTAGCCAATGGAACATAATCTTCTTCACGCAATTCACTGGATGCAGTGCGAAAAACAAAAGAATTGTATATGGCAATGCTCAAACAATAAGCATCATCTCATGAAAGTAAGCTTCTCACCGACATTCTCAAAACCGTTCGACACTACAGTACTCTGGGTAGGAATGGCAATTCATTTCCTGTAAGACACACATTGAAAAAATGGAACATTTCAAAGTGGACCACAACGTCTGTAAACTAAGAAGAACGCCAGAGTAAAGACGAAAATAAAGATATGAGCAACGGCCACTAAATGCGAATGAACACAGGGTGATTACAAAACTAATTGGTTCCTGTCGACAGTGAACAGAGAAGCTGACAAGAGCGAGCTGTGCCTTGTAGAATCTAAGCTCAGTTTGGGCAGAGACTGCAGACGTGAGACGATAGGTCCATCTGAAGATATTTCGAAGAAGAAACTCAAGTTTTAATTGCAGATTACGACACAGAAGCCTAAGAAAAAGAAGCAAAAGGGAAAACTAGGTCACTTGCTATGGAAATTCAACGCAGTTGTCCACGATGAAAATGCCATAAGAACTCAATTGTGGAGAACGGATAACTTACTATCTTCGCGCAGCTCCACTATTCTGTTCACCTTGAGTCTGGTATTCTTCACCTAGGTCTACAGCTAGAGGCCGAAGCTATCCCGCTATCAAGACTTGGACGACGACGTCTCAGCTCGACGGACTGAATGAGGAACATATGAGTTGCAAAAACAGCAAACAAATGTTAAATGGTGCTCTTAAAAATAAGCAAAACCATTTACTCAATACAAGATCAGGTCTCCTTCTAAATACTTTCTACTGTAAGAGATTCAAGACCATAGTGAGCTGATTGGTCAGACAACCATTACATATCACCCACATAACAAGCCAATTTTCTGATCCGTAAGACTTCAAATCAACTTTTAGATAGCTTTCCTCCCAAAATATGACGAAACACAGTGACTTCTGCACTAAGATAGAATCAGTGGGACGGCAGAATTTATTCGGTTCAATGAAAATGTCCTCATGGACTTCAATATTGCAGAGGGAACCACGAAATTCAAGTTCCTTAAAAGAAAGTTGGAGAACAAGAGGATACCACGTCTCTATGACAATCCACTAAATCTAGGAACAATCGGAAAACACTTTCAAATAGATAGAGGTTACCACGTACTGGGTACTTTCAGGCCAAAAACGGTCTCCCTTATGTATGGTCCCACTATGTTGTTAAGCCGTCACGTTTGCTCAGTTTTCCTATATAAGAGTAAACTGAAAACTTCCAGAACTTCACCAGAGAAAACGAAGAAACAAGATGTACAGCGATTAGAATTAAAATTACCAACATTCGAAGGTGTGATTTCCGAGGTCGAACGACGGATATCAACTCCTTCCATAACGATCGTTTCAGAACCTGAAAAGCTCAAAGCGTTCATTAAAGAGTCTTGTGAAACCATCAGGTTATGCACGTCACAAGGGGATCGACGCAAAAAGATGGCAAATTATAACACGTCACATTCTCTAAGGTACGCAACGGGAAAAATCACAACTCTCTCATACCATCAGAACTTAATGTAGCAAAAACTGAGTAACAAAGCAGAATATAAAGTAAAAGCAGTGGGAATCAGCGTCCTATCTGGGTGGAAAACTGTTCCATTCCGGATTTCGAACACAGGAAGACTGAAGTGACAATAATTCGCTGTCCCTTTCACCGC